AAGTCATATACTGGCAATCTTACTGTGAAATTGACCTTTGACCTACCTTTTGATGAACTTAACTTTGATTGTACCATTTTAAGTTATATATATATTTTGATGAACTTTTGATATATTTTTTTGCATATTTTGAAAATTCTTGTTGATTGCATTTTTACAGCTTGTCAAGCAAAAGACTGGTGGCTGTGTCCCTTATTTTGTGTATGTGGGGATCTATACAAATGCGCTTGCTCCAGCTGGTGGTACAATATTCGGAGGCGGTATCGCCTCTCTGATCCTCTAGTTACAGTTTTTTTTTTAGTATTTTCCTTTTTATTCAAAGTGTTATTTTTTGCCAAATGATTTCTCTAAAAATGTTAGAATTTGATGATGTAGTTTCTAATCATTAAAATCATCTACTGAATTATGATGGTAAAAAAGAAATTGTTCCTAGAAATTTTAAAGATGGAACAGTATATTTCATGCCTTAATTTGGGACATTATCTCTGGATAACTGGTGTGATAGTTCTACATTTTGATCGTTAAAATCTTCAAATTCTATGTCATCTCCCCCAGAGTTGTGGAGCACTTGTTGAGGAGTGGTGCCAAGGCTAACATCACTGATGCTGATGGTTACACCGCTGTGCATTATGCTGCAGTGAACGGAAACAAACTGGCACTGGAGATGGTGAATATCTCTCTTTCTCTCTCTCTCTCTCTCTCTCTCTCTCTCTCTCTCTCTTACATAACACACTAATGGCTTTGTAGTAACATTCAGTTTGTGCATACTCTCAACTGTATTTAAATGTTTGAAAAATGATCCTTTACTTATTATTATTGTTATTTTTTATTAAGCCAATCTTCATTCAATAAAAAGATGAAAAAACATTAACATTTATTTAGTTTCAGCATATTATCTCAAATAGTATTGGACTTTGATACACAGGGAACAAAGTTTAAATATGTTTATGATATGTTAATGATATGATAATGATATGATAATGACATGTTAATGATATGTTCCAGCTATTGGATGCCACTGCCTCGGAATCTTTGAACAGAACAGCCACCCTGCCTCCCAACACACCATTGCATTTAGCTGTAAGTTGACACCTCTTTCCCCTTTCTTATTGTGTGAGAAATAAGTAAAAAGTGATGGAAGTTGATGACAATATGAGCAGAAACTTATGACAAACTTATGTAATGATTGTATACTATTCTCTAAAGCGATATCTGAAAATTCCTGGCCATAAACCAGTTCTAAGTCTACAGATTTCTCCTTCTTTAATTATTATTATTATTATTATTATTATTATTATTATTATTATTATTATTATGTTAAACTGATAAGGTTTTAATAGCATGTTTTTTCATAGAAATGATAGTTGGATATGTCTTTTTTTTTAGGCTTTTAATGGTCATGATGAGGCTTTAGCAGTTTTGGTCAATAACTTCATGAACTTGGATGTCAAGGAGAAAAAAGGTAGTGTTCAGATATGTAATAATTTACACAAATGTTGTCAGAACAACTTACATTTTTTGCATTTTACATTTTTGTAGTAGTTGACATTTTTTTGCCTATATGGCTATATGTAAGTGTTTTGCTTCCATCACATCCAAAAAATACAAAAAGTAACACAAACAGCAGAAATTCCAGACCAATATTCAATTCAATTTCTTCACTTAAAATTAAGAATGAAAACATTGTAAATCAGGCATTTTTTTTTACCCCAAATTGGAACTTTTGATGAAATCTGAGTCAGTATACATGCAATTACCTACCAAAATCATTCCAGGTCGCACTCCCCTTGACCTTGCTGCCTTCAAAGGTCATGCCGAATGCTGCGAGATTCTGATTTTACAAGGTGCCAACATCATGGTCCAGGATGATGAGAGCAAGAGAACCCCAGTCCATGCTGCTGGTAAGTGTAAACCCCGCATTTGTACTCCCTGCTGCTGATTCTTGTAAACCCCATAGTCTGTGGTGATTGTTAATGATGAATCCATATCAGTCTTATATTTGCTGCGGTTGGGTATGTACTCTATTGGATGAAAAGCGAAAACTTCAGCCCCTGCCACTGGTAGATGTAGAGCCCATAGCTATTGTCCTTGAAACATATGGTTGTGAACCCCATAGCTGTGAGGAGATACAGAACAAAAAGAAAGCAAGTGTCACGCAAAAAATTATGTAAAATTAAGAATAAATAAAATAAAATTAAATAAACTGAAATAAAACAAACGAAAACAAAAGTGAGGCGAGTTGTTCATGATTTTTTTTTTTTTTTTTTTTTGCTGTAGTCATAAATCTTATAATAAAAAGAAGGTGGTACATTTTACACAATTGAAAATTCAAGCATGCAAAATGGTATTGGCGGTAGATGTATTTTTAAAAGAACAAGACCAGTGAAAAGTGTATAGTCTATTAACTTATATATAATAAATGTGTTCCTTACTTCCAGCTTACAATGGTCACACTGAGTGTTTGAGAACTCTACTCCAGAATGCAGATCACAAGGAGATAGTGGACTGCACAGATGAACAAGAAAGGTATGGTGATTTGTAAGGTGTCTGCACAATATACGCCTCCTTGGAATGGTCATCAAAATATAACTCTATTAAAAAAAGAAGGCTAAATTAAAAGTTCAAAAAAGTTAAACTCAAAAGTGTTTGAAACAGTCTTACTCAAAAATGTTATGAAGTCGTAACTCACTTTTGTTAAAAAAGATTAAACTAAAAACAGAAAAGAGCCTTTTATTTGAAAGCTGGATAGGATTAAAGATCTCTGTGCAGCTACAGTACCTAAAATAAGTGAATAACAAAATATGGTCTTATAATGTTTAAATCTCCCCTCGGACCCTGCTGATGGTGGCTGATATGTCATGGGAGATATATATAAAAGTGGTGTTATGTTTCTTCCCAATCCCGGACCCTGCTGATGCCGACTGTAATTACATATAGAACTGCACATAAAAGTATAGTTAAAATGTTTCTATGTTCACCATATCTCCCCCAGGACCCCACTGATGGTAGCTGTATCTAATGGTCACGTAGACTGTGTTCTTCTACTGCTCAGTCAGGGTGCTAACATCCACAGCACAGATATCTTTGGGAGGACAGCTCTACACAGAGGGGTGAGGAAGAAGTGGACTTTAAAAGTTGAATTTACATACCATTTCTGAAATTGTCATTTTCTGTCAACTATGTCTAATGAATACTTGATTATTTAAAATTGTTTGAAAGAAACAGCTAGGAAAACAAGAAGAGAAAGATGCAAGTGCATTGTTAGTAACATCAGGGAAAAAAGAGACCCAGTGCTTTTGGAATCTGTCTGGTTTTGCTAGTTCTTTACTTTGTTGTTGTGTGTTTGTGTGTCCGTGCGTGCGTGCGTGCGTGTGTGTGTGTGTGTGTGTGTGTGTGTGTGTGTGTTTTTCATGCATTTATTTTATTTTTACTTTTGTCTTTATTTAATACCCACCAGGCAGCATCAGGTCACGAGGAATGTGCAGACGCTCTGTTACATCATGGTGCCGAGGTAAACAGTCGGGACTGTCATGGACGCACACCACTCCACCTAGCAGCAGCGTGTGGTCACGTGGGAATGCTGGGAGCTCTGATGGAGGTGTGTGCTACGTCTGGGCCTGTTTACATCAGGTTCTATTTAAAACCTGACAGTGATGATATAATTATGTATAATTGGAACCTAACACGATTATATTTCATGAAATTATCACAGCACAAAATCATAGTTAGATCATTATATTGCAAATATATTATTTTCTTACAACTGTTAGGAAAATTGTGTTCTTTAAACCGGTGTAGGAGCTGTTGATATCATTTATTATTGTTAAAATTTACAGTACTGTTTCTTCATTACTAGATTGACTCAAAATGAACAATTTTATACGTGATAAACCTAGGTGATTTAAACATCAAAAATCTTTCAGTTAATCCAGAAATTTTTTCTTTTGCTCTTTTGCTTATTAATAATCAAAATACCCAAATGTAATTTATAGTGAAAAGGTACTGTAATTCTGAGTGCGGAAGGGGAAAAAAGATCTATAGAATAAAAGGTTGATCCATATTTCAGTCTGGCTCCCCTCCTGAGAATCTACTGGATAATAAAGGCTACAGTCCACTGCATTGGGCCTGCTATAATGGTGAGTAAAATACTGCATTGGGCCTGTTATAATGGTGAGTAAAATACTGCATTGGGCCTGTTATAATGGTGAGTAAAATACTGCATTGGACTTGTTATAATGGTGAGTAAAATACTGCATTGGGCCTGTTATAATGGTGAGTAAAATACTGCACTGGGCTTGTTATAATGGTCAGTAAAATACTGCACTGGGCTTGTTATAATGGTCAGTAAAATACTGCACTGGGCTTGTTATAATGGTCAGTAAAATACTGCACTGGGCTTGTTATAATGGTCAGTAAAATACTGCACTGGGCTTGTTATAATGGTCAGTAAAATACTGCACTGGGCTTGTTATAATGGTCAGTAAAATACTGCACTGGGCTTGTTATAATGGTCAGTAAAATACTGCACTGGGCTTGTTATAATGGTCAGTAAAATACTGCACTGGGCTTGTTATAATGGTCAGTAAAATACTGCACTGGGCTTGTTATAATGGTCAGTAAAATACTGCACTGGGCTTGTTATAATGGTCAGTAAAATACTGCACTGGGCTTGTTATAATGGTCAGTAAAATACTGCACTGGGCTTGTTATAATGGTCAGTAAAATACTGCACTGGGCTTGTTATAATGGTCAGTAAAATACTGCACTGGGCTTGTTATAATGGTCAGTAAAATACTGCACTGGGCTTGTTATAATGGTCAGTAAAATACTGCACTGGGCTTGTTATAATGGTCAGTAAAATACTGCACTGGGCTTGTTATAATGGTCAGTAAAATACTGCACTGGGCTTGTTATAATGGTCAGTAAAATACTGCACTGGGCTTGTTATAATGGTCAGTAAAATACTGCACTGGGCTTGTTATAATGGTCAGTAAAATACTGCACTGGGCTTGTTATAATGGTCAGTAAAATACTGCACTGGGCTTGTTATAATGGTCAGTAAAATACTGCACTGGGCTTGTTATAATGGTCAGTAAAATACTGCATTGGGCCCATTATAATTCTGATTAAAATTAGAGCACTGGGCCTATTGTAATGGTGAGTAAAAATACAGTATTGGGCGTGTCATAATGGTAAGGAAAGTGATGAGTTATGTATTTATTATTGTGAAAGTTAAAAACCGCCATTAAGCTAGTGAAAGGTAAATGCCTTATTCATATTTTTTCATCAGTGAAGTGGAGATGTATAAATCATATCAAATCATAAAAAATCCATCTTAAAATGCACTCTTTGTATTTCACCGTAAAATGTGGTCTTTGTTCCAGGTCATGACAGTTGTGTAGAACTGCTAATGGAGCTGAAACAACTGAAAGAATTCAACGGCAACCAGTATACACCTCTACACTGTGCTGCGTAAGTACTGTGTGTGTGTGTGTGTGTGTGTGTGTGTACACTGTGTGTGTGTGTGTACACATGCACTGTGCAAGTAAGAAGTGTGCATGGGTGTGCATGTGAGCATATGTGTGTATTTGTATGTGTGCAATGATAGTACTGGAGCAGACCGAGCTTTTATGCAGAATAAAAGAATTCTGAATTTTTTCTTTTAGTTTTTAAGGGTCCTCATCTTAATATGTTTGGTCCCATAGTAGATGTTAGGAAATTTTTTAAAGACCTTTTACTCATGTCCATTGGTGAAAAAAGTTTTTAATTCAACCTTTTCGGAATTATTTGTGTCAATCATTTACCTTATTAACTAAATGCTCAGTATAATAGTGTGTGTATTATTATTATTATTATTATTATTATTATTATTATTATTATTTCCAGAGGTAATGGTCATGACACCTGTACAGAGCTGTTACTGGAGACACTGGGAGAAGCCATCATTGGCAAACAAGATGGCAAAGGAAGGTAGGTGGAAAACAAACGGACTTTTGTATAATTTTATCATCAAAATATCAAGATAGCTGTGCTTGTGTTTTTAATGCATTGTACTCTCTTTTCTCAGAAGTATGATTTTCATATTTCTTTATTAAATTTTTTGTCTATTCAACCAGTATTTATGACTTATGTATGTGATAAATCCCATATAAACATAAGCATTTCCCATGCTTAAAACATCAATTTCACATTAAATGAAAATGCAAGGGATTCAGGTTACCTAAAGTGTAGTAAGACTTCTCTTTTTTCCCCTGTCGGAATGTCAGACATGAGCTTTTTCTGTGGAAAAGCAAAATTCCACGCTTTTTAATTCAATTCTGAAGGTTCCGGAGATTCATCAGGGTTAGGTGTGTATTGGGTTCTTCGATATACTTACTTAGCGTTGATATGTTCAGATGATTTTTTTAAAACCTAGGCTCATGTCTAGCATATCCACTTTGAATATCTAAACCTCCCCAAAAAGTTTTTTCCTGCAGTATTTTGAATTTATGAATATGAATAGAAACCAAAATAAACTCTTCCTGCTTCCTAAGGACTGCGCTACATGCGGGTGCCTTTGGCGACCATTGCGACTGCGTACAGATGTTATTGGCTGCGGGCAGCGATATTAACAAAATGGACGCCCTGGGTCGGACACCCCTCATGTTTGCTGCCATGAATGGCCAGAGCTCTGTAGTTGGTGAGTTACAGTAGACAATTCTGGAGGTCACGGGTCAAAACTGATTTTTCGAAAAGGTTTCAAGTTATGTTTCTAAATTTCAGGTTGCAGAGGTGAGCTTTTTTTCAGTCAGAACGCAGATTTCTGCATTTTTTTTTTTTTTTTTTATTTTTTTAATTCAATTCTGGTGATTAGTGAGATTTCTCAGGATCTGCAATAAAATCTGGGGGCGGGGGGAGGGGGGATTAATGTTCAGATGTTTTCTTTTGCAACCTAGGCTCATGTCTGCAGTAGTCATATTAAACATTAAAGCACAAGAGAAGAAATATCAAATATGATTATAAGATGTGAAGTTATATGAGCAGAATTCTAGTGTTAGTTTCACCGTTTCTGATTCAACTCAAAAGTTTGAGGCACCTTGAGAGATTATGACCACAAGCAAGGAGTATTAGCTCGTGATTTTAGGGGAAATTATTTGCTACAGAAATGTCTTTATTGGGACACAGTAAAGCTCTGATCATGATCATCATACAAAAGTCCTATATTTATCTTTCAGAGATGCTGCTTCATAACCGAGCTGATGTTACTTTGGTAGATGATGATAAAAACACTGCCCTCCACCATGCCTGTATACATGTAAGTTACCCTAACAGCTTGCTATGAGCATTAGACCTTTATATATAAATATGAAAAAATCTTGGACATTTTGACACGTTTCCATATCACCAAGGCAACACTGTATACAAAAGCTGCAGTTAAGATTATTTTCTATAAACCCATTTTGGATCTCTAAATGTTTGTGTTACTTTTGGTATGGAGATAAACACTGGTGAACCTCACTCAGAAGTGTTAAAAGAAAAAAAACATGACGTCGAAGATTAAGTAGATATTTGTCTAACATGTGGACTTAGAAAGTGATTTAAATGAGTAAAATGTGGAATATTAAATATTTTGTAATAAAACAAGTACAAAAACTGCTTTATGCATTTACTAAGCTAGTGGAACATACAAAGCAACTGGTACCAAACAGCAGCTTTAAAACCAAACATCGTCCATTGAATTTGGGCAAGTCAATTTGAAACAAACTTTTAAAAGAGAAGTTTTGAATTAAGTGTGAGGTCGAACCACATTGTGACCTTGACCTCACTGTGACCTTGACCTGTGTCTGTTCCAGCGCCATACACCAGATGCCCTGCTAATTCTGGAAAAGTTAGATGATTCTGACGACGTCCTCAACTTTGCCAATAATGAACAGAAAACGTGAGTTCTGAATATTATTGTACCACGTTTTAGCAGATCAAAGAATATTCAGAACATATCTTGGTCATATCTTTCCATTTCTTACTGTGGACATTTTTATTATTTTTTAATCCATTTTTTTGTTATCTGTATATGAGAAGTCAGCCAATAGATCATTGATTTGATCATCTGTTTAGTGTAATATTATATTTACAAATACACTTTGGAAAAATGTTATATCCTGTAAAACCCTGTTGTATTCCAGATGTCTCCACATAGCTGGCCGCCATGGTATGGTGCCGGTGGTACAGACGCTGATCAGTAAAGGGGCCAGCGTGCTTGCTGTGGATGAGAACGGTAAGGGGGAGCAGTCTTGCTGCTCCGTAAGGGGTAGTTTTGTTAGATTTACTAAGGAGAATTAGGGATTGTAGTGGTTGATATACTGAAAATGGTTTTGGATAATGTGATTACTATGCAGTGACAGTGTTAAGGGATAGATGTGTAAGAAGTACCCAGAAATTGTACTTGATAATTTTACTGAAAAAAGTTATTATTATGATATTTCATTAATGAAGGCTACACCCCAGCCCTGTCTTGTGCACCAAATCCACAAGTAGCAGACTGTCTGGCCATCATCTTGGCGCAGATGTTACCTTTCACCCCGGGGACCACCATGAGGTCAGGACGTCTGGACATTACCAGCTCTCCAGGTGACTAAGCATGCTTTAATTGAGATCAACCATGCTTTTGTTTTAAAAATTAAATTTTGTTTTAAGAAATTAAAATGTTCGTGAGTAGTTATGTTGTGATCAAAACTATTTGATGGTGTCGAAGGTCTTATGTAGAGGGTAAAACTTGTTTGATCCCTTCGGAAGAATTGAATTCTTCACCGTCTCTGACAATTAAGGTGTGTGTTGTGTGTGTATGTGTGTGAGAGAGAGAGAGAGAGAGAGAGAGAGAGAGAGAGAGAGAGAGAAGACAAATTCATTTCTAAGATTGTCCAGCATTGTTGGAGATTAAGCAAGACATCAGTGGTGATTAAGATTGTGATGCAGTGTGAAACATTTTGATATAATTTAATTTAAAAAATCTCTTTCTAGGTGGCTCGAGGAATCTGGACACCAGTGACCAGGGCTCAGTTGGCCGTAATCTGCAGGACACACGGGAACTCTCCGGGTCTGTACAGAGCTCTGACTCCGAGTTTTATTAATGAGGTGGACAAAGGTGACCATAGATGGACATTGGTGACCACTGATGGACAAAGGTGACCACACATGGACATTGATCAGTATAGATGACCGCAGGTGGCCGAAGGACATCGGTGACCACAAGTGACCATTGGTGGAAGAGTATGACCACTTTATAGAAGCTGAAGAATTCCATACATGCTTGCACCAGACTTTGACAAGAAAGTTTTTAATGAGATGAACATATAATATAAACACTAATGATTTGTACATTTTAAGTCAGCATAGAGGACTCCAAGTCAGTGAATTGCTGAGGTGTAAATTTTATATATAAATGAGATGAACAGGGCTCTTTATAATATCAGATGTTAAGGTGTTGTTAACTGAAGGTCAACTTGATATGCTAAGACAAGGATTGTGAAATTGTAGAAGTCTATTAAAATGAATTCCCATCAATGAGAATGAATTTTCAGTGACTCTGACTGTAATGCCGAGAGTAAACCATAACCTCTTGCTGTTGAATCGACTGTTTGGTGGAGAATGTTGTGTCTGATTACATATCAAAGTAATATGTGTTTGAGAGCAGAGATTTGTTGCAAGCTATCAGAGTGTAATTAATGACCTGTGATTCTGGTCACAATGAGAACATTGGACAAATATAGGTAATAATTGTGATATTTAAGATGTACAGTTTCAGAGCTTGGACCTTGATAAGTCATGGTGCAACTTTTCACCAACATTCCTGAAACTTAAAGGTTATTAGCAAAGCTTGGGTTTTACTAATTTTAAAGCTGAGATCATTTTTCAGAGCTAAGATGATTGTTATAACTTCCATGTCAGTGACAGTAGAATCAGTTATTCAAAATACTAGAGTTACAGAGGGGAGAATATAGTAATTGCAGTCTAAATGCCAACTTTTCTCTGTTTGTAAAGAGTATGTGATACCGATAGATATGGAATTGAGCATCTTAGTGTATTTTAACTCCAGATTTTAATTTAAAGTATCTGTGTGTGGAAGCCTGGAGTATGCAGCACTGCAGTAGACAAGAGTGTGACTTATTTTAGTCTGTGTATAGTGAGTCCGAGACTCTTCCAGACTAAAACTATTAGCACTAGTAGGGACAAGTAGGGATATTATATTATATTGAATTATACAGCAACTAATTGTCACAAATTGTAGCATAATATACTATTATTAACCAATTTCCTTCACTTTAGACACATTAATATACAGTATATATAGTTTTAATTGTCACATAAAGCATAAGCAAGCAGTGCATTTTTGCATAGTGGCTTACTATTGATGGGTTTTAGTTTTAAACACACAGTATGAGGAAATATGATTTAATGTTAATCGTGTTGAAAAGTTAATAGTTTCTAAAGAGACAGCATGCTTTCCTACCGAGGAAGCATGACGTCACAAAGGTCACATGATCTCAGAGATCACATGACTGACACATGGGTGAGTTCTGGATGCTAGGACATCACATCTCATTAGATATTGTTTATTTTTCAACAATGGTCTATGTGTAAAAACCATTCCAGCCACGAAAAAAGGCATTTTATGTGCATGTCCACAGAGAAAAACCTTTGTATCAAAGTTTAATGTTATTCAGTGTATTTGGTCATAGTTGGAGAACTGAAATGTGAGATTAAGGCCTTATCCACATATTTAGATGGCCTGTACATTACCTGAACCTTTTTTCTCCTAATTTTAAAGATGTACTCACTGATCTGTGTGCACTTGTTGAATAAACGTAAGAACAGTATGATTCCAAGATAGAATATTTTGTTGGTTTGGAAATAACAGTTTATCTACTATTATTTATTTATTTATTCATCTATTTATTTGGACCAGGAGACTTGTCTGAAGTGCATGCACAGAACTGGAACTCACACCATGGAACTGTATATAGATAGCTTCCACATAGTTCATGTTCGCACCTAGTGAGACATGCAACTCAGTTGTCCACGTGACCCCTCCCGCCCCAGACACAGAGGTTCCTTTCTAATGTTTTCTCCCCTACAATAAACACTGATGAGACATTTCTGACTTTTTCAGGGTCATTTGGGTCATTTGTTGTGAATCGTGGACCCTGTTCCCCCGGCCAATTTTCCTACTTTTTCAATGAGGACTGGTCTCATCCCTGAATAAACCATTCGTAGCAAACGAAACCAAGCGATGCCCTTTCTCTGTACCGTTCATTTACACTAAAATCGCATTGACCTTAGTCAATTTCTCTATCTTTGGTGAGCGAAATAAACCAATTTAACCCCCTCCCCTCCACCCCAACCCCATATAGAACCTGATCCCGCCAGTGCCACGGAGACAAAAATTGGTAAGCCGACACAGATTCTCGCCAATATTTTTGCCAGGGCGTTGCAAATGTTGATCTATAAAAGCGTTTCCTTTTAAGCTTCTGGCAAAACTGTAACTACCACTGTCTATTTGTTCATCAGCTTGCCTAGTAAAGGAACCATTTTCTTTTTACGGAAGTTTGACACTTTAGATAGATCGGTCGTTACGTAATTTGACGCTCTTCACAATGCCTGCGCATCGTCAATCAATACCGACGTCGTCATAGTAGATTCTGTCAATTTTTACCTGTAATAAGGTTCCTCTTTGTATGATAAGCAAAACATTCCACCTTGTTATTTATTCCTTGTACCTGGTAAATTCTAAAATCATAACGAATGTATTCCATGCGATGACTATGGAACGTAGCCTACGTAGGTCTATCTGAAGATTTAACATATCAATGTCAAATAAACATCTAGTAGAAGAACACTGATTTGTCTATTGATTTGGACGGGCACTAGTGCGTCACGCATCGTGTAATACACTTCAGTTTAGCCTAGTTATTTTATCTAATTGCTGACTCCCCGTTTTTCTCTGAGATGTATTTTCAAAAAATAAAATGAAAAAAAAATTGCAACTAACGCGTCATAAAAAATAACACCCATTTTCCCCATGGGTGAGACTGATCACAAGTGCGCCATGCACGCTTCAACGTAGTTTGGCCTAGCCCTTTATCTGGTCAATGACTCCCATTGTTTTTTCTTTTTTCAATTTTGTAACGTACTTATCTATTGATCTACACTAAGTGCGTATTTTTTTCAATAAACGTGCAACTGTTCAAAGATAAACAATACCCCCAGTGTGTTAACTGAACGGTTCTTTTCTTCTCCCTGGACGCACTCTACTTCTTTTCGACCTTAAATGGGGTTCTCAGGAAAGCAACGATTGACAAAGGGGATGTGCAAAGTGGCAGAGCTTTTAGGATATTTGACTTCTTTTGTGTCTTAATTAGATTATCTGACGTAAATCACAAAGCGCAAAACTGCGTGTAAAAAGGCTGATAACAGCGTGACAATGAAGGGTCTCAGGACGAATATAATAGGACAGAAATACGAATATCTGTCCAACTTACGGGACCGATGTTTTCCACAAACAAGCTCGACATCAGTTGCGGGTTAAATCTTTGTGAAAGCAATGTCCTCCACAAGAACCTTGTCTTTCCATGCAAGGCTGTCAAAAGGGAGACTTATGCTTATATGGTTGTCATGGCAAGTAGCGATAGCTGGTGCCTTGCACGTGGGATATATGGTTAGATTCAAGAAAATAGGGACGGACAGCCACCACGTGTCGGATACGTTATTTGAGCTTGAGGGACACGACAAACCTCAGTGCGCCATGGCGTGTATCAACACCGAGACATGCGTCTCTTTTAGCGTCACAATGTCCCCTGACGTGCCTGGTTCTTCCTGTTGTCTGTCGAGGTCGTCTGCAGGTGTGACTGATTTGCAGTCAGGGAGCGGATGGTCTTATTTCGTTATGGTAAGTTGATTTTTCTTGGAATATTTCGATGTGGAATACGATATTTTCAAATGTCGAATGTAAAACATTAAACAGTGGATATATATATATATATATATATATATATATATATATATATATATATATATATGAATACGTCTCATACATGTATACTTAAGATTGTTACATATTTTAATGTTGTAGAATTCCAATGTTTCACCAAGTTTACTTCAGTTTAATTTATTTTTATTGCTTATAACGAGTTGTGGGTATAATGAACAACAAACGTGTTTTTCTTTTTATAAAACTCAGGATAAAACTGGTTCCAAAATACTACTAGATGTATTCGATTTGAAAGGAGTTTTTAAATTTATTTAAAATGTACAGTGGCACTACATTGTCTAGTTTTTAGCTGTTTTTGAGATTGTCGATGACACGAGAAAGTTTTTTTCGCAATTTTTTCATCTTATCACACTGATATCTGAGGTCAATTTTCTCATCTTATCACACTGATATCTGAGGTCAATTTTCTTATCTTATCACACTGATATCTGAGGTCAATTTTCTCATCTTATCACACTGATATCTGAGGAAAAATTTTCTCATCTTATCACACTGATATCTGAGGAAAATTTTATCCACGTGTTGTTAATAATAAGAAGAGCTAAAAACTAAATGTTTATTATTATTATTATTATTATTATTATTATTATTATTATTTTGATATACGGTATATCTCCATAAAAAGTACGGAGGAGAAGCATTTCACAAATACTAGTAGTAAGAGAGGAGTTTTTCGAGATGCAACTTTTGAGGGACCATATACTTCCAATGCAATATTTTAGTGACCCTTGAGGTGTAAATGAGGGGCAAGATACTTTAATGTAATTATTTTAGTGAACCTTGAACATTTAAAGGGGCTATATGTTTTTAATGAGCAAATGACGTAGGCTGCTGATTTTAGCGGAATGCAATAGATGCCCTTGGATTCCTACGAGGTGATCTTTTAAATATTTGACAAGCAGAAGTAGGGGGGTCTCATATGTTAAGTGGATTTGTCAATAAATTACCACCTGAAGTATGAACAGGCAAATTAGCAAACATGCAATCAGCCTATGTTTCATTATCCAAAGGACAAGTTTGAAATGTTTTATTATATAATTATTTGAAGGAAAACAAAGGCATCATGTTTAGCTAAAAGAATTGCAGTGTCATTTTATTTTGCCAAAGATGACCACTGTCTTATCGTTTCGTCATGGATATTGAATAACATTTCTTTATTCAAAGGACAAGTTTGAAATGTTGTATTATATAATTATTCTAATACTTTATATTAAAATGAAGAAAAATCGCAAAGTCATGTCATTTTTGCTGCATATAAATACTCCAATTTTCAGCATTACTACCATGCTGCAGCCAACATGCCTCAAATAGAGGTACAGCCCCGTAATTTATGTCTGAACTGAAAAACATTTTGGCATTTTTTTAATCAAAACCTATCACATTAAGGCACATGTATGTAATGCATATATACTATACAAAATATCAGGTATATATATATTTTTTATTTTTTTTTATTTTTAACTAAAACATGTATGTATTTTTTAACAGTGGCGATTTTTATGTATTGCATATATGCACTGAATGCTATCGGTCTTTTGACCAACAGTTTAAATTTATTTGCAGGTTGATGAGGACCAAATAGGGCTGAACAAATCCCACAAGGTAAATATGTATTACCCTCTTCTAATGATATTTGATTGGCCTAGTTTGTGAAGGATTAACTATTTCACAGTATTGAAAGTACATGGTTTTAAATAAATATCATCATCCTGAACAATACGGCAATAAGGAGCGTGATTTTCTTTTTCAGCTTGAAGAATTTATTGTTATTACTGAAGAAGGAGAAGGAGAAAATGAAAACCAAGATGAGCAGGGGGAAGAAAACAATCAAAATAATTAAGTGAGTTTTTACATTTTGAGTCATATTTTATGCCTAATTCAAAACATGTTGTATATAATTGGCTAAATATATTTAGATTGTCTGTGTAAATGTAGTTAGTATTTTTCAGGCTAAAGAATTTTATATATACAGAGTAGTTAAAGGTATTATTATTATTATTATTATTTTCAGAAAGCAAAGAAGATACGGAAGCCTTACGTTTTGCCACTTCAAAGACTTATTCAGTGCAAACTTTGTTCGCTATATGTTTTTAAATTCTGTTTATTTGTCAAGTTGTGGTTTAAGTTAGTTTATTTTCAACTTTAAAAGTAGGGTAAACACCCTGATATGTTTGAAAACTCAATTTACTGTTAAGCTTTACATAATGTAAGTTATGTATAGGCTTGTGTAGCGACAATAGTGAGAACAGTACTCACAACTCATCGTCTATAGACCACAATTCAATGAACAGTAGCGAAGCGACCAATATGTTATATGCGAGCCCAGAAGCAATGGACCATGCAGGTAAACTGTGTGAACCTAAAACATCTACACCGCTTTCGATCAAAAATATCAACGAACAGTTTTCAGAGACACATAGAAAGTTAGATTTTATTATGAATAAGCTCCAAAAACTTGATATCATAGAAGGAAAAATTCAAGCACTAGATAATAACGTCGTTTTCCTGGAAAACAAAGTTACAGACGATAGAGATGAAAAACACAGAAATTGAGACGTAAATAACCTTTGTTTCGGAAAAATTGGACGAGCTACATAGCAAAACCGACGAAATTCCCCAACCGTCCAGATCTTTAGACAAGCAGAAGAATGAAATTTCCGAGCTTACAGCAAGTATGGAAAGACAAAAACTTAACGTGGAGCAGATAAACAGTGAAATAGTTAAGTTGTCACAAAAGAAAAAGGAGCTTTCAAAGGTAATTATCGACCTGCAATGTAGATCGATGAAATATAACCTTGTATTTACCGGCTTGGGAGGCGAGGCTAGGGATGAAGATAC